TAATGAAAATGTTGGTGGTGCTGGTGTAGGTGTTGCAATAGTGGCACTACAGGTGAGTGTGGGGGATAATGCTGGTGCTAGTGCTAATGCTTGTCATGATGGTGGCAGTGTTGGTGATGATGGTGGCAGTCATTTTGGTGTTGATCATGACAGCTGTATTGTTGGTGAACTTATTAGAGTTGGAAATGATGGTGTTGTGGAAGCAGGTGGTGAAGTCAGTGTTGGTGCTGAGTGGCAGTACCAGTGACAGTGGTGGCACAGTATGGTGTTGCTGATAAATACAGTTATTAGTACTGAGGTTGATGCAATGGTAGAGGCTGGGTATGGGTCACAATGGATGACCGTAGAGGTACTGATGCTGGTGCTGGGATGAGTGGTAACAGTGGGGGGCTGGGGGACGGTGGCAGTGCTCACTGTGAGGCTGGCAATGACCACGGTCAGGTTCTTGGCTCCCAGGACTGTAGGCTGGGACCTTGGTGAGAAGAGGCTTCTGAGGAGGCTTCCCCCAGGACTATGCCAAGTGTTGGGGAGAACTCAGCACATTCCAGTGGTGTCTGGCTTCCATGGGGTGAGTTTCCCTAAAAACTGTGGAGTCACAGCAAAAAAGGAGGGTCTCCCCCTTACCGCCCTTCCCCTCCACAGCTTCATCGAGGACAATGAGATTGGCTCCATCTCTAAGAACGCTCTCCGAGGACTTCGCTCCCTCACACATCTGTATGTGCCTCCAGGGCCTCCCTCCCCTGCCCCAGCCCACCTGGCAGGCACCCTCACTCCATTATCCCGAGCACATGCTGTCCTCATAGCTGCTGATGGCTCCTCCTCTTTCTCTCCTTCCACCAGGAGCCTGGCCAATAACCATCTTGAGACCCTTCCCAGATTCCTGTTCCGAGGCCTGGAGACCCTGACTCATGTGTGAGGCTCAAGGGGGCTGGACAGGGCGGGGGAATGTGTGAGGAGGGAGCGGATATCTGTGCCCGCTTTCGGTAGGCACGCGGGCTCCATCCTGAACTCTGACCTGGGAGGGGATGGGGGGTGGCCTCCAGGTGGTGGAAGCCGGGTCGCAGCCCCTCCCCGGCCTCTTGCCCAGGGACCTCCGTGGGAACCCGTTCCAGTGTGACTGCCGTGTCCTCTGGCTGCTGCAGTGGATCCCCAGCGTGAATGCCAGCGTGGGGACCGGGGCCTGTGCCGGCCCCACCGCCCTGGCCCACATGCAGCTCGGCCATCTCGACCCCAAGACCTTCAAGTGCAGGACCATAGGTGGGGGCTTTCCCTGAGGGGTGGGAGGGACAGCAGGGGTTCCCAGAAGAAGGGGTCAGAGCCCTGGGCTGAGGGGTGCACCTCACTTCCTGCTCCCTGCCGTTTCCTGGCTGTGAGACTCTGAGCAAGCCGCATCACCTTCCTGAGCCTCAGTTTCCTCATCTGTGAGATGGAGGTAATAAACAGTGACAGGATTGCTGTGAGAATTTAGTGATGTATCCACACCTGTATAACATTTGGCACAGAGCCTGGGATGGGAGGCCCTTATTACTGTTATTATAAAAATGGCCATTTTTAAAATGCTTCCTATGATCGTTTTGCTTTTCAATAAACATATATTGGTGCCGTTACGGGTATTGGGCAATGCAGAGAGCATAGCAGTGATGAAAATGGCCCTGGGCCTTGTCCCCATAGAGCCCACAGTCCAGAGGAAAGCAGAGAACGACAGCCTGAATGATCAGGGTCTGGGCCAGGGGAGGGGAAGCACAGAGGGGTAAGGGCTGGGCTATGGGAGCCCAGAGCCAGAGTCAGAGTCAGATACTCCTGAAGGAATGGGATTTGAGTTCAAATCTGAAGGCTATTATCATCATCATAGCTAAATGTGAATGTGTTTTGGGTTTGCCGGACTCATAAAACAAAAGAATTTAACTTAAGGGAGATATATATATATATATATATATATATATATATATATATTTTTTTTTTTTTTTTTTTTTTTTTTAAGAAAGGAAGCGAAGGGGAGAAGGAGATAGAAACAACAGTGATGAGAGAGAATCATTGATTGGCTGCCTCCTGCATGCCCCCTACTGGGGATTAAGCCTGCAACCTGGGCATGTGCCCTTGACAGCAATCAAACCTGGGACCCTTCAGCCCACAGGCTAACACTTTATCCACTGAGCCAAACAGGCTAGGGCAAGGTCATTTTTTACTAAGTTATTTAACAAACATTCACCGAGGTCCACTCTGTGCCCGGCCCTATGAAAGGCAACGGGCACACTGTGCTGACCAAGATAACCCGGGCCTTGGCCTCGCGTTCTGAGGGGGAGGAAGGGAGAGACAAACATTAAATAAAACATTGCACAAATAGATGTATGTTACATATTGTGATAAACACAAGGGGTTCTGCCTTACATGGGCATCTATAAGGGTTTCTAAAGAGATGGCATTAGATCTGGATGTGGCTACGTGAGGTTAGAGGGAAGGACATTGCAGAGAGGGGTGTGTGTGTGTGTGTGTGTGTGTGTGTGTGTGTGTGTGCATGTGCAATGGCCCTGAGGCAGCACAGAGCCTGTCCTGCTTGAGGATCAAAGGAAGGCAGGTTTGGTGTGGGAGAGTGAGTGAAAGGAAGGACATGTGAAGTCAAAGGTGCAGGAGTCTCATTGCATAGGACACTGAGAGCAACTGAGTAGAAGGATTTCATCCTGAGGCTGTGGGAAGCATGCTGGGTCTTGAGCAGGGAGTGATAATTTGATGGACATTTTAAAAGATCCCTCTTTGGGTTGGCATCCTTGTTAGTTTGGGTCATTGCTGCAAGCCTGGCACTTAGAAACAGGCCTGGCATATCGAGTGAAGTATTATAACCCAGAGTCAACTGCTCAGCTCCACCACCACTCTGCAGGGCAACCTGGGTGCACTGTGACCATAAAAGCTAAGCTGTAGCAGAGGTTCAAAACGCCCTGAGTTTAAGAAGACAGAGGGCCTGCAGTTGCACTCCAAACATCTGGCTGGTCACAATGGTTGGCACTGACTTGTAGCAGGTCCATCTGCCAGTTCTTGGGAGTAAGGAAAGGAGACCGGGTCCAGGTGAGCCACCTTCATACACTTGAGGCAAGCATTGCGGCCACCACTCTGCTCTCATTCCACGGAAACGTGGTTCAGGAGGTGTCCTGAGAGAGCGCTGGGTGCTGTGTCCTCGAGCTGGGCAGACTGTGCCTGCCTCCAACCCTATTTCATGGAAAATGGGAAGATGGATTTTGCTGGACAACTGGCAGCCTGTGTCTCTTAGTTTCCGCATCTCATCTCTAAGGTGGATATACCAATGGAATGTACCTTATAGGGATTTTGTGAAGTTAAATGAATTAATAAACATGCTGTGTCTATGCAGTTGTTTGATGATGCTACGAAGCTTAGAAAGCATTCCCATGTTGTTTTGAATTAGTACGCTATAGATTAAAAAGACCCCACTCTATGTCCCTATGAGATAGAGATCATGATTGTCCTCATTTCAGAGATGTGCAAACCGAGGCTCAGCTATGAAGACCTTTGGGGTCTCCCGGGCCTGCCTGACTTTCTCCTTCCATCCCCAGAGCTGTCCCGGTTCCAGACGGTTGGGGAGTCGGCGCTGGGCGTGGAACCTTTCTCTTACCAGGGGGAACCCCACATGGTCCTGGCACAGCCCTTTGCTGGTCGCTGCCTGATTCTTTCCTGGGACTATAGCCTGCAGCGCTTCCGCCTTGAGGAAGAGCTATCTGGTGAGCGCCCCCACCCCATCTTCCTGCCTGTGGGGATGGGGAGTGGACGGTGGGGACTGCCCTGCCCACCTGGCCTGATCTGCCTCTTGCTCCCCCTCAGCTCCCTCGGTGGTGTCCTGCAAGCCCCTGGTGCTGGGCCTGCGCCTCTTCGTGCTGGCGGCCCGCCTGTGGGGAGGCTCACAGCTGTGGGCACGGCCCGGACCCGGCCTGCGCCTGGCCCCGACTCAGGCCCTGGCCCCAAAGCGTCTGCTGAGGCCTAATGACGCTGAGCTCCTGTGGCTAGATGGGCAGCCCTGCTTCGTGGTGGCCGATGCCTCCAAGGCCGGCAGCACCACCCTGCTGTGCCGTGACGGGCCTGGCTTTTACCCACGCCAGAGCCTCCACGCCTGGCACCGGGACACGGATGCGGAGGCCTTTGAGCTGGACGGCCGGCCTCACCTGCTGCTGGCCTCAGCCTCACAGCGGCCCGTGCTCTTCCACTGGTCTGGGGGCCGCTTTGAGAGGCGCACGGACATCCCCGAGGCTGAAGACGTCTATGCCACACGCCACTTCCGGGCCAGTGGGGATGTGTTCCTGTGCCTGACTCGCTACATCGGGGACTCCCTGGTAAGCCTGGGCCCAACCAGGTGGAGGTGGCAGCAAAGACCACAAGCCACCTCTGACCTGCAGTTGACTCCTACTCAGGGCTGTCTTTGCCATGGGGATCACCCAACATGGGCTGGCCTTTCAGCATTGGCCCCACTTTGCACACTGGCCTCTAACTCTGCCCCAAGCTCACAGGCTGATCTTCAAACTCCAACCCCATCTAATGTGTTGATCCTTGAATTCTAACCCCACCCCAACACTGACTTCAAGCCTGTGACACCTCAAGGCATTGTGAACCCTGAACTACTGCCATTTCACAACATAGACACTGGCCCCAGGATTCTGATTCTAACCCCACACTCTGGCTCTGTAGCTCTGACTCCCTCCAGGACTTACATTTAACCACAGCACACACTCTGAATCCCCGAGGCTGATGCCCACACCCTCCAGCACTCTCTTTTAGAGAAAGGTGGTCTCAGGGGGAGAGTCTGAGCTTACAAGTCACTGTTCTGACTCAGTTCAGAGTGTCTCAGTGGGGAGCAAACTGAGGGCACAAGGATGGGAGTAGGTGAGCCGGGAAAAGGCGACCTTGGCTGGGTGGAGTGTGGGAAGAGGAGATTGGGGCAATATACAGCACAGTAGAAAGCTGACAGACTCCTCTACTGATGAGTTCTGTGTTGGGGAGGTGGGGGGAGGAGAAAGAAGGGCCAAGAATGTGGCCCGAGCAGCTGGGTGATGACATTTATAAAGAAAGTTACAGGAGTTTAGGGACCTGCAGGCCTCTACTTATAAGCTATTTCAAGTCCTCTGAAGCCCAGAGGACTACCAACAGGTCGGGCCCTCTTGGATCCCAGTCCTAACTAGCCGGCACACTTCACAGGTCATGCGCTGGGATGGTTCCATGTTCCGCCTGCTGCAGCAGCTTCCTTCACGTGGTGCCCACGTCTTCCAGCCACTGCTCATAGGCAGGGACCAGCTGGCTATCCTGGGCAGTGACTTCGCCTTCAGCCAGGTCTTCCGCCTGGTGCCTGACAAGGGGCTCCTGGAACCGTTGCAGGAGCTGGGGCCCCCAGCCTTGGTGGCCCCCCGGGCCTTTGCTCATATCGCCATGGCTGGCAGACGCTTCCTCTTTGCTGCTTGCTTCAAGGGCCCCACACAGATCTACCAGCTTCACGAGTTAGACCTCAGTGCCTGACACTGGATGGGATCCTGAACATGGTTGGTGAGGAGGTTGGCATGGGGAGTCTTAGGCCTCTGGACACCCTCTTGACTGACCTCTTGGGCCCACTTGGTGTTTTATGGCTGGTCCTGTGAGATACTGGCCACAGGCCAAGTTCAAGGCAAAAACTGCCCTCCAATCTTGGCTGGGGCAAATGCTGGGCGCTCAGACTGGGACACAAAACTGGATTCCAGAAGTCGTGGTGGAGTAATGTGCAGAGCTCCATGAGGTCTGGGAGCACCTCCCTCCCCTCCACCCACCCCTCCTATTCTAGCTTCCTGTGAAAGTACCCAGGAGGAGATGGCTTTCCTCTCCCACTAAACTCAATTTGGCCAATCGCTTTAGTGCTCGCCTCCATGACGTTATCAGTTGCTGGGCAGGTTTTCTTGCCAGGCTTGCTAACTTCCTCTGTTGCTTGTACGCATGCCTGCTGCCAAGGCGGAAGCCCAGCACAGTCCCTGCTGGTGCGAGTGAAATGGGAGAAAAAGCGAGAGTTTTTGCAGGGGCCCAGGGTACTCCTTTCCAGTGAGTGACAGAGGTGAAGGCGAAGGTGTGTGAGCTCAATAAATGTGGTGCACCCGCCCCAGCTGTTGTTGTGGGATCAGGGGAGGGGTGTCCCCTGACTGACATGGGGGAGGGGCCCAGGGGCCCAGGAGCAGTGCTGCAGGGGAGGGGGGGGGTGTCCCAGCGGAGCGTGTTGGCGTACTCTGGTAAGCTTCTGGAGTTGTCTAAGGAGCGTGGGTTCATGATTATGGGGGATGTTCAAGGGATATAAGGGCATTATTAGGCACAAGTTTATTGTGGGTCTCTTCCGGGAGGGGGTCTCTTTTTGGGCATTTTGAAGGTTTTTATGCACCTTAGGGGTGCCTCTTGATAGCATTTTGAGGTCTTATTGGGTTCTGGGGAGTCTCAAGGGAGTTTGAGGCTCATTGGAGGCTCTCACACCAGATGGCCATCATATATTATTAGGGTTATCATGGCCAATTACTTAAAAGTCTCACGGAGACATCTGGGTATTAGGAATTAGAGTCACAGCAGTGAGTGAGCCTTAAGGGGTCTTACTATCTGGGCACTCACATTCTGGTAGGGTGATCCCAGTGTCCAGCTGAGTGTCCCAGCATTTCCTCTGGTTACAGCTCCCTTTCACTCTCAAATGTCCCCCATTTGAACTAGAAAATGTTAAATTGCACATGCGGCCCCCATGGCCATGGCAATAGAGGACAAACCCCATGCTATTCGCCCGAGGGATTAGGCCTTTGGACTTTTCCCAGCAGAGATCCCCCAGCCAGCTCCTGTGGCAGCTTCCCGGGCGTGCCCGCCACAGATCCTACCCCAGGACACACAGAGTCTCGGCTGCTTGGGCTGGAGGCAAGACCACTTTAGATCAAACTGTGAACAAAAGGACCTTACAGTGACAGTGAGGTGGGGTCTGGAAAGGCAGTCTTGAGGACAGGAGGGGAATTCCATCCTGGAGTTAGGTTCCTATGCAGACCAGGACGTGGGGACAGAGAGAGGCCCTCTGTGTTCTTTCGTGGATCCATCCTCAACAGTTATGGGCAGAGCCTGGGAGAGGTGATAGGGTCAGCTTGTGAGACCAGACCAGATGCAGTTTTTTCTCCCCACAGCGCTCGCGCGCGCACGCACTCACACACACACACACACACACACACACATACACGCCTCTCACATCCTGTGTACCCCTTAGCCCCATCTGTTCCTGTCTTACCTGGAGTGACGAGTGGTGGGGCATCCCCTGATCGGTGGCTAAGAAAAGAAAAGTGGTGAGATCTGTATTTGCCTTTTGTCCTCCTCCTCAAGACTAGAAGACTCTCAGCTTTCCTTAACCTAGCTTCCTGGCTACTTTTCCATCATAGAGTTGTACCACCCCAGGGTCCCAAGCATTTCAAGATTTGGGGCCCTTTGGGGATTTTCAGCTCCGAAGAATAAGCCTGGGAAGTCTTAGTGGCAGGAAACCTCCAGCTGGGCCTTTCTGCAAGGCTTAGCTCTTTCACCCTGGAAGATGTCTAAGAGAGGTGCACCCTGGGAATCCGCTCACCTGGGCTTCTGGCCAAACTTGCATTTGCATTTCCCACCTGTTGGGGAGAGGGGCATGGTCAGGAGAGGGGACCCTTCCCTTCCCCACTCCTCCGGCGGCTCCTCACTTACTCAGAACGACGATGATGCCCATGGCGCACAGGACCCCTGCACAGATGAGCCCTCCGACTCGGAGGCTGTGCCAGTCTAGGAGAAACCCAGAGTGGGCCTCGGTGTCAGCCAGTGTCCTCCTCATCCTAGTCCCCGTCCATGTAACTAAGTCGCCTGGGCACCGATGCCGCGCTGGCGCTGAGTACAACTGTGCGGCAAACACGCCCAGCCTCCCCTGCTCATATCTATTAGCACGCAGGCAAGCGACACAAGACTTATCGGAGAGCTGGATGGAGAGACGTGATCTGAAGACAAGTGAGCACAGCCAGGGAGCAGGAAGCCAGAGGGAGCGTGTCAGGGAAGGCCTCTGGGGGCCCCTGAAGCAGAGATGTGGGGGGATGAGGGCGGGAGCATGTGGCGTGTGGGAGGAAGTATTCCAGGCAGAGGGATCAGAAGGGACAAAGATCTGCAGGCAGGGAGTGCACCTGCTGAGTCTGAGCCCCAGCAAAGAGGCCACTGTGGCCTGAGCGGAAGCAGTGACGGGGAGGGAGGACAGAGGGGGGACTCAGAGCAGATCATGTGGAATCTGGAGGCCACGGAGGATTTGGATCAAATGTCACAGCTCCTCTAGGAAGCTTTCTCAAGTCAAACCCACCCAGACTTGATTTGAACATAACAATGGTGTCTCGTGAACCGTCCCTGCTTCTCGTAACTGTCCTTGCTGGACAGCCACACATCTTCCCGAGGACCAGGCTGGCCTGTTTTGTTCCCCGAATCCATTGTGGCTACTGGCCAATGTCCCAGTCCAATCCTATCCTTGCCCCCTTTCCACCCACATCAGACCACCCAACATTGTGTGGGACTCACGGCACAAAACAGTCTGAGGGGTGTGGTAGGAGGAGCGAAGGGAGGGGCACCAGCTCTTACCGTAGTAAAAAGGACTGTCTTTATCTGAAAGGAAAGAAAGAGAACATAAATCCAGGAGCATAGCTGGGATACAGGACTCCCGGGGGAATTGGGGCGGGGGTGGAGGGCTGATAGAAGAGCACAGCCTGACTTACCTTCCGGGTCGTTGGCATCCAGGGCAGGTAGGCCTGGTGGGAGAAGCAGGAAGGAGAGGACATGGGTGCTGGTGTCAGGAAGTTGGCAGGGCCAGGGGCTTGGAGAAAGGCCCCCTGATGGACAGTCCCTGCCTCCCGAGGGTGCAGGGGTCCAGCCCCAAACTGGCACGTCCCATCTCGGAGGTGTGGACCCTCCCTCAGCCCCACACCTGTGAGCCAGCCAGCATTTTGCCTCCTGAAATAGGTTTTAACCTGAGTAGTTCTCGGCCACCCTTTGGCCTGATGTTTCGGCCCCTGGCTACTCCACACCTCCTCCAGAAACAGAGCGATGTTCTTGTCCGCAGGGCAGATGGCATCCGTCCCTTATCCTCAGAGCCCATCTCCCTATTCTGCCGCATCCCACCCACTTCTTCTGATGTTTGCTCACCACTCCTCTTTAAGGCAACTTGCTAATTATAAACATCATACACTTTAATTAAAAATCATCTTTCCATCACCATCCTAAATGGAATACAGTCTTGCCAGATAAACAAACACAATGAAAGCAAAGGACGAGGATTAAATTTTGGCTAGAAGCAGCGGCTGCCTGAGCTCGGGGCCTAAGCTCTGTTCTTTCTTTGTTAAAGGGAGATAAATAATTTTAAATTATATTTCAAGTACAAATACCTCGTGCTTACTCTGTGCAAGCACTGTTTTAAGTGCTTTCCAAATGCCAACTCTTTTCATCCTCACACTGACTCTGTACAAAGTGCTATTGCTGTCCTCATTTTACAGATAGGGAAACTGAGGCATCATTGGTAACTTGCTCCATGACCTCTCAGCTCCCAGTTACCCCGCATAAAGACACAGCCCGAGGCTGAGCATTCCTTGAAGTCATCCATGAGATACTTCCTAGCTAGTTGAGCTGCTGCTACGAGAGGTCCTGTTTTGTGTTCTCTTAAAATCACAGTACAGCACTTCTTCCCTAAGGAGATGCTGTCCTGACAGTCCTACCCCACAGGGGGTCTGTGAGGCTTGCCTGCGGCTCAGCAGAGGGGCTGGGGGAAGACCTGTCCAGGGGCAGCACTCACCTGCGAGGAGGAGGAGCAGGCTCAGGGCCACTTGCTGCATGATGGAGCTGGCCTGGAAGGGGAAGGGGCGGCCCAGGGTTAGCAGGGCTGCAGGGCTGCGGGGATGCCACCAGGGCCTCTGGTTCCCAATCCCCTCCTACTTCCCATCCCACCCAGGGCACACACCTCACCACAGGGTGGGAAGGCTGGCATTGAAGGCTGAGAGACAAGAGCTGGGGAGTGAAGTGGGGGCTAGGTGAGATCTCAGACCTGATGGGCAGCAGCAATAATCACTCACTGGACGCAGACTTGAGGCTTGAAGTGAATCTCCCTGGCAACCAAATAAGAGAGAAGCTGCCTGTGGTTAACCCCATTTTATAGACTGGGAAACCGAGGCTCTGATAGGTGCCTTGTCAGAAGTGGGATTTAAACCAGGGTTGGCTTTGCAGCAGCTGTCCCTAACTCAGGATTCTCAGGGCCTCAGGGTGTTTTGGTAAAGGGGGTGTTAGAAGCCAAGTGGCCAGAAGCCAGTTCCTAGGAGTGTCTCCCATAGACAGCTTGGAACCTGCCCTGCTTGCCCAGACTTTATAGACTCAAGCTACTCAGGGCTGGGTGTGGTGGGGAGAGCGCAGAACTGGCTGGCTGCAGCCCCAGCTCCATCTCTTGTGCCATCCTGACCATTGACCCCCATTTGTGCCCCAGCCCTGCCCATCCAACCCCCGTCCCTGGTTCTGCCTCTACCCCAGTCCCAGCCCCTGCTCCTACTCCACCCCTGCCAAGCTCCTCCTGGCAGCAAACTCTCCCTCCACAGGGAGCCCTGCTCAGCACGAAGAGGCTGCCTCTGTCCCTTCTGGGTCTAGGGTTAGCCCACCCTCCCTCCTCCTCTGTGCCTGCGGTAAGCACCCGATCTCTGTGCATCCCCTGTCCTGCCCCTGCCCCTGCCCCCGCCCCACAGCCAAAGCATCTGTTGCCATAACTCTGACAGCAAGAGCTTACACTTCCTCTGACCCACCTGCGCCCGGCACCGCCAACAGCCCTGCTGGGTTTTCACTTGCGTAATCCCGACCACCGCGGAGGCCATCTGTCACCTTCCGCATGTCATGGTGGGAACACATATGTCCTCCCACCCTGGTGAAAGCCCATATGACCGGAGAAAGCACCCCGCCTCGCTCCTTCTCGGTCCCTCCATGGCACCCCCACCTGAGCTGCTTTCTGTTTCAGGAGAAGGGCCTGTAGTTTGGGGAGCATTACTAATGCATCTAGGAACCCAAAACGTTTTGGGGGACGTGGAGAGCGTGTGTGGGCAGGCAGCACAGGCCCGTGGAAGGTCTGCTGCTGTTGGAAGCGACCTGGGAGGCTTTCCTGCCTCCGGACTAACGAGCACTGGTAAGAGCCCGGCTCACGGAGGGCAGTGGGCACGCTGTTCTTTCTGTGCATGTCACCTTCGCAGCTTGACGAAAGCGGCACTGGGATTAGCCCGCTTTGCTGTCGCAACCCCGTAACCCGTGTGAACTCCGCCATCAGCGGCAACGCTGAGGCTCAGCTCCTAAGCCTTTTCCATGGGATCCTCCGCCTCCCGCCCTCCGCGAAGTCTCCATTACTCTCCCTCCCAGCATCTCCGGCCTCAGCTCAGGGAGCCCGGAGTGGTCTCAGCTGGGCTTGGCGCTCCCATGGTGCCTGGGGGTCTGCCCCCCTTTCCTGTCGGGCGTCCTGGGAGGAGGCCGGAGCTGCTCCTGAACTGCCTGTTACTGGTGTGAGGCTTGGACAGGAAGGCGGCTTTGCCCACGGAGGCCTGCTCACCCCTTCCCGCTCCTTCCGGCACAGAGCTCCTGTCTCCGCCAGCTGCCCTCGCTCTCCTCTGCTCCTCTATGGGGTAGGCCAGGCCTCCCAGCATGAGGAATGACTCCGGGGCCCTGAAATGTCCCGCCCAACCCCCCATCTTACATCTCCTCGGGAGCCTCCAGCTCCTTTGTCTCCATCCACAGGACCCCGCTCCCTAGACATTCGGGTTTAGCCAGTCACCCTCTCTGCTCTGATGCCACCAGCCACCCATGACCACTTAGATCCCTCCATTCGCTCAGGTACCCCTGCCCCCTGTTTGCCCAGATGCCCCCAATCCTGTGCTGGTCCACCCAGGTGCCCCTGATCTACCCAAACACCCAACACACCTGCAGGCCTTATCTTCTTATCTCCTCACCGCCTCAGGGGACAATCGGAGGATCACTCTAGGCCAGTGGTCAGCAAACTCATTAGTCAACAGAGCCAAATAGCAACAGTACAACGACTGAAATTTTTTTGGAGAGCCACATTTTTTAAACTTAAACTTCTTCTAACAGCACTTCTTCAAAATAGACTCGCCCAGGCCATGGTATTTTGTGGAAGAGCCACACTCAAGGGGCCAAAGAGCTGCATGTGGCTCGTGAGCCCCAGTTTGCTGACCACGGCTCTAGAGCTTTCTCTAATCTCCTGCTCCTGCTCCAGAAAAGGGGGTAGGTTCTAGGGTCTTTAATAGAGAGCAGTGGAGGGAGGGGGCCCCATCTCTCACCAGTGTGGCTCCCAGGCGGTGTGGACGGTCACTTCCGCCTGAGTCCTGCCTTTATCTGCAGCTGCCACGCCCTAAGCAAACCTGGGCAAGGCTGGGCAGGTAGGGAACAAGTCAGACTGCCTAAAGCACTGGGACTCTCATCCCATTCCTGCTCTTAAAGAGACAGCTTCAGCCACCACCCCACCACTGGCAGGAGCTCCCTGGGCTGGAACTCGTCCCCAGCCCTGACATTAGAGGAGGGGGCTTTCTCCCATCTCCTGCCCCTCAGAAAAGGACCTGGAAGGGAGAGCAGCAGGGTCTTCAACAGCAGAGCGCTGGCCTGGGGTCGGGGAGGGCTGGGGGAGGGCTCTGCAGAGGTAATAGCCCTGTTGTTTTTGCTGAGATTGTGTGCTGTGCTTGGAGGAGGCATTGGCCGCAGTCATGGGAGAGCTGATGTCCTCTTCCAGGCCACTTGCTGCTGTTGACTTAGTTTGAGGGTCAACAGAAGATGCTGGTAGGGCCAAGGAGAGGTGGGGCTGCTTGGCCCTAAACCATGACCCCTCCTCTGTGTGTCCATTGTGCCTCAGGGAGACTGGGAACTGGCTCCTGAGCACCAGGTCCAAACCTCCATAGCCCAGGCTCTTCCTAAGGGCACCGAGAGCCTGGGCTACACAGCGGGACTTGGAGTGGGGGGCTGCCTGCCATTCCGGGTAAGGCCCAACTGCACCGTGCTCGGCTCCTTTACCCTCCCCCCTCCCGCCCCTCCTCATGGCATTCTTTCCGGCTGGGGTCTGTGCATGCCCCCACTTGGTCCCCGTTGGGGGGCCCCCTGCCCCCAATTCCGCCTTTTTAGACAGAGAGACTTTTGTCTGGGGGCTGGATAGAGAACAAGGCTCCTTTGAGTGGCTGGTAGAGGATTGGGGTCATGGGGAGGGGCAGGGCCAGAAAAGGGGTGGCTCTGTGCTGGCCACCAGCTGGACTCCAGGCGACCCCCAATACCAGCACAGGGGTGGGGCGGAGGGCTGCAGGAGCCAGGCCAGGGAGAGGGTGGAGTACAGGCCAGGGAAAAGGGGTTTGGAGGTCAAGGCTCTGCTGGAGACAGGGAGAACAGACCCCCCACTTCTCAGCAGGGAGGGACAGAGAGGCAGCAATGTTCACTCAGCTATATGGTCTCTTTATGTGGTTCCCTCAGGCCATTTCTCAGTCCCAGGCCCTAGACTAGGACAGGTCCTCTTCCCACTCCCATTCAGGAGGGGCCAGTGCCTGCAAGAAGTGGAGGGGACACTCAGGAAGGGCGGGGCTCAGCCACAGTGGGAAATCGGGGTGGGTGGAGACAGAAACGGAAGAAGGGGAGGCCTGAGGGGGATTCCAGTCCAGCTAAGGGGTCTTTGTGTCTGGGCAGACAGCATCTCCTGCATAGACAGCTGAAGATGGTAACATCCCTGGGAAGACCCCTTTGGTGGTCTTGGGAGTGGAGTGGTGTTCCCCCTGCTGGGTAATCTGGAAACTACAGGCATGTGAGAGTGAGAAGGCCTGAGTGCACTGTGGTGGAGGATGTATGCTCTGTCCTTCATCTATGCCACCGTCTGCAAACTCAGATGCCAAAGTGGCCAGGCAAGAATCGTGAATGAGTACAGCAGGACAGGCATGAGATTATAAAGTATGGGGACAATTCAGCAAACAGGAGAACTATTGTTCTGTCTAACGGGCAGCTGCCAAAAAGACTGGAACAAGCCCACATGGACAGATAGAGAAATACTTCCCAGATACCTTGGGGAAAAAGCAAGATGTATCGAAATATGCTGCCATTTGTGAGGGGAAAATCATTTATATGTAAACTAGAGGCCCAGCGCATAAAAATCATGCACTGGAGGGGGAGGGGAGTTCCTCGGCCCGGCCTGCCCCCCTCACAGTTCGGGAGCCCTCTGGGGCAGAAGGCGACTGGTGATTAGGGGAAGGCAACACCCCATCACACCTCTGCTGCTGCCACTGCCAGCAGTGCAAGCCTCAGCCAGCCCTGGTTACCTGAGCCTCGGGCAGCCCTGGGTAGCTGGGCAGCACCATCCGAGGCTTGCCTGCGCCTCGGGCTGGCCCTGGGCAGCTGGGAGTCTGAGGGAACTGGGGGACTCTCTGGAGGCAGCCACGTGCCTGCCATTCCTGCGGGGCTGAGGGGACTGGACACCGCAATCTTGTGGCTGTGGGTGCTGCCATCTTTGAGGGAGGGGGAGTCAATTAGCATATTCCTCTTTATTAGATAGAATACTTGTATATTAATAAAATATTGTTGCTTCTGGGGAAGGGGATTAGGAGGCTGCAGGATAGGGTGGGAGGAGACACTCACTTATATATCCTAAAAATGTGCTACCTTGAAAAAAAGTTGAATTAAAAATAAAGTAAGGGATACGCTGTACCCGGTTCTAGCCAATTGCTATTATTTTTAATAGGTATCAGAAATCTGAATTTTTATATGAAAGTTCTAATATTAAAAGTTGGGTCTCATATATATATATTTTTTTATTTTTTATTTTTTTTAATTATTCAGGTTAAACAGAATACATTTGAGGGCTGGTTTTAGCCTGGGAAGACCACCATTTAGAGATTTCTGCCAACTTCGTTTCAAGAGTCTTTAGTCACTGTGATTTTGCATTTGGATATCCAAATGTTTATGAGGCTTGTACCCAACTCAGGC